TTTGAAAGGAAAGAAAGGAATAATTGAGAACTTTTAGATAATTGTCAAAATTTGTATTATTTCTCTGAAGTTTGAGTGATAACTAAATTTTATACATATTCATAATGGCTAAATTGAAATAACAATGAATTCAGAAGGTCAGATATCAAAATCATTAAGGAGGGAATTATAGGATATAATTACAAAGAAATGCTATGAATAAAGAACATTGAGAATGGTATAAAACTCTACTGGGGAATGGACATACAGTCTATAAGAAAGAGGGCAAAAAGTGGTACAAATAGCAGGTGGGGAATTCAAATGAATGTATTTGCTAATTAGCATCAATTAAATTAATTGGTCATAAAGAGAGAAACCTTTACAGTTGTACTCAAGTTAAAGAATAATGTGAAGAAGTTGAGGCAAATGATGTGTTAGTCAAATTCCTTCAAAAATAGTACAATTTTCTAAACATTAATACTTATCTTCTGATAAAAGGACTAACTGTGAGATCAGAAGGTAAAATAGCCTAAGGAGGATATTCTAAGAGCTACTGAAAAAGAATAAAGAACTTATAAGATAGTATTAAAAAACTATGTTGTTTCATAATTTTTAGATTATTTACAAACTTGTTTTTAAATTTATATATAACTTTCCCCCCTAAATTTGATATCACTGCCACCCAGGAAATAAGTACACTAATATAAACAAAAGATAATTGGGACCTTAGAAAGGTTTTGGCTCTCAATGTCATAGCAGTGAAGTTAGGAAAATTCTAAATAACAAATCTATCAAAATAAACAAATTAAGTTACATTGTGCTAGTGATGAAGAAATAGAAAACGATCTCCACAGGAGAAACAAGTTTTTTCTAGAGTGATATTCTAAAAGAAGTTACTAAAATAAGCTTATTTATAGTGGATATTTAGTAGCCAAATGGACCATTTCCTTGGCAAAATTTTACACAAAAATGCATGATTTATTTCTTCAGTCAATCACATGTTAAAAAGCAAGTAGAGAGGTGATTTTTCAAGATGAGTTTATTGAATTCGATTATCGAGGTTTAGTGATATAACTTTTTTCTGCAATGATCAAATTCTTCAGAAAAGCAGCTGAAGGAATTTGATGTCAAAGTTGCACAATAAAACCAGTAACAATTTGATTCTACTTTGGGATTAATTTAATGGCTGCTTAACTCTCTAGACTCTTAAAATCTAATGAAAACTAAGTCAGTACTATGGAGCAAACTGATTAATTTTTCATATGGCATCCTTTTCATATTCAACAGAGGATTTTATGATTTGAGATGATTGATAAGAGTGAAAACTGGTGAAATGTATTGAAAAGTATGACTATTTCTCACATTATAGAGACTATTTGGAAAAATGACAAATTTAGGTTACTTAAGCCATCAACACCTGCAGACTTGATAATTCCTGTGAAATATGAATGCAGAAATGTGTACAATTTGTATGCATTCATTGAAGTTAATTAAAAGTACATGTGTTGGTGTGTAAATTCTTAAGAAGGGATAGTATGTAATAATTAAACATGACTAGATTTTATATTAAGGTCCCCAGAAAGTTAAAAAGAAAGCTAAGTTTCTCAAGTGTATCACTAAAGTATGTTGAGAGAAACCATTTCTATGTAAATATCTGTTTGAATTTCGTAAAGTCAGCTAGGAAATATATAATTCAGGAATGTGACTTATTCTTTTATTCCATGGCTCCTAGTATATATTACTCTACTCGATAAACAACACTGCGTAAACAGCCATAGTAAACATTGGCTGATTAATATTATTGATGTATTGTATGTACAGTTAGCAAATATTGCCAGAATATGAATTTTGGAGTATGTCAATAAAATAAAATTTAAAAAGAAGAAAACATATAATCCAATACTTTGTATTTCATTCTATTTAAGGAGTTTCCTCCCTTAGAATTTTCTAAGTAAATAGAATAAAACTTAAATGCCACTTTCATTACACAGTATAGATACCCCTACCAAATACCCCTAGGTTTTACAATTTCCATTTTACAAATATATTTAAAACTTCTTTAGGTTGCCTTGTTGACCTGTTAAGTATTATGTAATAAAATTGTGTGTAAAATCTATTACATACTGAAGATAATACTTTCTTCATGTTGACTAAAACACCATATTAAAAGTAATTTTTGTTTAATGATGCTTAACTGTTTTAAAAAAAACTTATGGATATTCTATCAAATACAAAAAAATGAGAGCAAAAATATCTGTGTCTAATACTTAGTTGTAATTACTATCTATTCTAGTTATACAATTTCCAATTTGTTCTAGATAAGGATGAATATTCAAATGACCCAATTTCTACCTCATGCTCCAAATTAAGTGCTACAGAAAACAAAAGTGGGCTAACCTGCAATATCAGTTTCCATCCATGTTGTTCATTTACACTTAAATCTAGACCTTGTGTTAGTACTTAAGCATTTCATTTTCCCAAACTTGTCACCTCAAATAAATCAAGAGAAAATGTTATACTTTCCTAATAAGTCATACACATCTTATGTTGCTCCTTATTATTTTGCATGATGTTATGTACACCATACATAAGTGAATAATGGGCAAGTGAACAAATGGAATTTATTAAAATTTAAATGTAGCAATTCTGAATAATATATTTCTTTTAAGATTAGTTTGTGAAACTATGTTTTTTTTTTGTAATAGTTAACTTTTGTTGTTCTCTACATATAGCACAAGGCTTCTACCAAAGAAATGGCCATATTGAAGTGAATAAAATCAATAAAAATGACAATCAATAAAACACTTGTGAATGTCTCAAACATGCCTTAGAAAAATGAAGCATTTTATATGACAATGATCTTTTTCTTTTAAGAAATGATTAAGGAAATATTTTAAACCATCAAAAATAAAATAAATTTTACTAAAGAAAACAATCTCTAAATATTAAAGGATTAAGAAAAAATAGTAATGTCAGATGCTGATAAAATAAAAATCTTGGATATGATCTTTATTGTTCTTGAAAGACAAAAGAATATATTGTGCATTGTACCGGGCTAAGATATATTTTCCTATGGAATGTTATGTCAATTACAAAGTGTTACTGAACTAAATGTCACTGTCACGATTTTGTTTTTTTGTTTTGTTTTTTTTTTTAAGATTTATTTATTTATACAAGCACTGGGTATAGTCAGAAGCGCGGAAGGGTGAGAGAATTCACCAGAGCCAGAAGGGAAAGCAGAGCAGATTGACGAAGTACACTGCTGAGGGAAGCAGCGGATGACAGGAGAGGTCTGTGCGCCATGTGGGACCCTCGCCCGGTGGCCAAGGATCGAACCGGTGCTGCAGAGGCTGTGGGCAGCTCCGCAACCCAGAGCTCAACTGCTGCACCACCAGGGAGGTCCACGATTCTGGGTTTTTATACTTGTGGAGATGTCTTTTTTTTGTCTATCATCTCTCTTCTATTGGGCACTGATAATAATTTTTAATAATCTGTAATAGGAAAAATAGCTTCATTTTCTTCAACCTCTCAATTTCTCATATACCATGCCACCCACTTCTGTTGTCATAATATAGTTTGGTAATGCACAACTGTGCCACTTTAATTTTCAAATGACTTAAAGTTATATTCTAACTTCAATGTAGTTGTTCTGAGAAGCAAGCACATATGTAAATGGAGTGTTCTGTGATCATATAATGCAAATATTTTGGGAAACTTTTTTTAGGTGATAAGTTAAATAATATTTGGTTAGTAATATTTTCTGTTAAGATTTACTGAGGGGTTACTGTATGTCAGAAGTGACTTCCAGAGTTTTCCATATGACAATGTATATATCCTCACAGCTCTATATCAGGAGCTATCATCTCTCCAGAGGTGGCATCCAGGCACAGGCAGTTGCCATAACCTGTCCAGGTCACATAGCTACAAGAGGTGAATCCACAAACTCAAACCAAGTTTTCTGGGGACTGAGCCTTATGCTCCTGACCAGACTGCCTCTCTCTAAGAAAGTAATTTTTTCTTTATAAAATATATCTCAGGGATTTCTACAAACCAATGTAGAAAAATACAAGTCAGTGAATTTGTTACTTTTGTCATTTCACTTACATCTGAAAAATGTGACATATATGTGACATATTCTGCAGCCTTTCCTATCTGCACACAGTCCTACCCTATCACACCGAATAAATTAGAGGCACACAGCACAAACACAGTCTTTGCTTTTATGGAGCCAGGATTAAAAAACATGCTTTCAGAAAATTCCCAATGCTCTTCAATTTACAAAGATAAAACAAACAAAATAAAAATATTGTAAATGTATGTACTATTTCTAGGTATTATAATTAAGTCAGGTGAAGTGGAATGAAGTGCTATTGTTATCTAATTTCTATAAGTAATCTAATGTCTGCATAATTTTATGCCTCTATGAAGTTCAGCTAAATGTAAAATCTCACACTATTATCCACAAATACCCAATACATTGAGTACAACAAAGCCTTATTTTGCACATGAGGGTTTTTAATCCCTCCATCTTTATTTTCAATGTTTGCTATTTGTTAGCGATTGGTACAAAAACAGTACTACTTAGATCGATCTATTCATTTCCTTTAGTCACAGAGAAAGCCATTCTCACATGCCATCTAACGCAACAACTAGTGTTTCAGTTCAAAACTTGGTTAACCTCATATGCATGTTATAGTGGCAGAGAGAAAACAAACATGAATGAGATGCTGTTCTCATTGCTTTTTACTTCTATCACCACCCTCATTTACTATGACATGGTACCATGTGGGCCTGTGACCACTAGTCTCACAAGATATTCCTTATTGAATAAACAAGGGAATAAATACTTCTGGAAGATGAGAAGGGAAAAAAAAAAAAAACAAACAAGCAAACAAAACCCCCTTTTGACCTGACATTATGGAAAAAAAATAAAAGACACTAAGATGAAAAAAAAAATAGTGTCATGGTTTACATGTGGGATTTTGATGGAGTCTAGGGCTGTGTTTTAATTCAAAACTCACCATCTCAAAACCACTTCTTTTCATCCGCCTGCAGGACTTGAGGTAAGTACGTATACGTTTTCTGGCACGCTCTTGATACTCAGGGAATTGTCGCCTGCATGAGTCAATGATAGCCTGGATCTTTTCTTTGGGCTGCTTAGAGATTGGGACCATTCGGTCCAAGTTTTCATCTACAAACAGCCTGACAAACATCTGTTGGCAAGAGGGAGACAGAGGAGAAGGGTTTGGAGGGCTGCTCTCTTCTGTTCCTAGCTTCCTGTCTTGATTACCGATAGGAAAATATTCTTTCTGGAGAACTTTGCAATGGAAAGCCAGAATTTTTAAGCAAACACCCTTTAAAGACTTTCTAAATGGTTGGATAATAAATAGAGAGAAAGAGAGAGAGAAAAGCAGACAGACAGACAGACAGACAGAAAAGAATAGACTATTGTGTAGAAAAATCAGGAAATAACAGTAGACTGCGACAATTAAGCATCCCATAACATTTTCTATTAATGATAAATACAACTTTTACATGGCTACCCTGCACAGTGTTCTAAGCTCTGAAAACAAACAATTGACTCTTGTCATGCATAATTAGATAAGCTGGGAAAGCAACAGAAATAAGTGATGACGGGCGTACTCTTCCGAGGAATAAGCTGAGGCCCCCTTCATCCACTAGTAAACATGCATACTCACACAACACAACTCCAGTTTTCAGCGCACATTTGGCTTTAAAATTCTAAACAAAACACAGCAATTCTGGTGTCTGGTTGGCAAAGAGTGTTTCATGTACTTTTTAAATCCTTCTGTAAATTAAACAAACATGTCTCTAAAATATCCACATTTACCAACAAGCAACAACATGAAAGTGAAGTGTTAAAAATGAAGGCACACTGGGAGTGTGACAGGACTCACATTAAAAGCTTTCAGTCGCTCTGCTTCCACGCCATCTGTCTCGTTCACTTTCTCAGAATCGTCATGGTCGTCGTGGTCATCTTCATCCTCATCCCCCCTGTTTAGAGATATGTCCTCAGCAACCCGGTCCACACTCTCATTTTTGCCAGAATCGTAGCTTGAGTAGCTATGTGCAGGAGACTGAAAAGAAAAGGGTAGTTAGTTGTGTTTAAATTCACTGCTCATGTTTATCAAATTTATTTTAGTTTTAATTTCAGCTATTTTTTAAAATACTTGTTTACGTGATTAATTCCAGAACTGCAACTATTTTAATTTTAATTAAAATTAACTTAAAAGCCATGTCAGTCACATTCCCAAGGTTCAAAAGTCACATGGAACATTTCTACCATTATCAAGTTATTAAATTTAGCTTTTCAAAAGCAAATTACTATTTCTACTAAAATTCATATTCTACAATGAAAATTCAACCTATAGTCAATTTTGTAAGAGAATCATTGAATCACATGTTTTTACAAATGGAAATGACCTCAAACTACTATTTTTCTTTAAACAGATCAGGATATTGAGGGGTGATCATGTTTAACTGATTTGCCCAAAGAGACTATATAAAATATTATTGAGACTATGTGTTATCTGTAAGACATTTTTCAAAATCAACTTATAAATTGTTGATGAGTCTTGAGAGGGCATCCTGTTCTGTTTTAGAAGAAATGAACCAGATCTTCCAAAGAACTGTTAGTTTAGTGCTTCCTAATGTGCAAAAGAAAATAAATGCCTATCAAGATAATTGTTTCAAATTTTGATATTTGAATACAAGACCAACCATGGCTTCCACTGTGACATCTACTTTGTCAGCACAGTAACTTTTCAAAAATTGTCCCTGTTTCAAAGGTCAAAGTCTCTATCCTATGGGCACCAAACTTGTCTACCCTAAATAGGCATGTCACAACTTTACCTCTAGGTGAAGAAAGCTTGTCTATAATGAAATCAAGTTGAATTCAGTAGAGCCAAGCAGCACAGAAATAGTCCTGATAACATCATTTCAGCATCTAGATTCAACTGTGCTTGAAATTAACCCGAGGGTCCTTCAGTTATGAGATACCATACGCCCTCTACCCCCTGCCGTTTATGTTTTTACTTCAATCTGAATTTCATTCACTTGCAATTGAATATGGAGTGGCATAGAAATCAGTTGTTAAAAGACCAGATTAACAACCCAGTTTTCACACATGATAACTTAGATAGTATGTGGTCCCAAGCAAAATGATGATAATCTCTGTAAACAGCAACAGCTGCCTTCAAATCCATCAACAAAGCAAAAAACTTTCAAAAAACTTTATAATCAAAACTTTTAAATGAGCAGTGTCTAAAAATGCCTCCATGTCATGAAAACATATGTATTTTATGGATCTTACTAAGAGTAGGGATAATAAAAGTAGGCTATCTCATTGATGTTAAAAGTGATATTAAAATTTAAAACCAGATATTTTTAAAAGTCAAATCATTAACAAGGTAAATTTGCCTAATAAAATATAAAGCAGAACATAGGTATGAAAAACATACTATGAATAATATCCTTATCTGAATCCAAATATACTGGGCTAATTTATTTTTTCTACACACCACATGAGACACACAGCCCAGTTAGTTTTCTGTTACAAGCAGAATCACCAGATACATGCAAGATTTAGAGCCCTAGCCACTCCAGGTTAAGAAAACCCAATTTTATAGATTTGAGAAGGTTCAGGACTTAAAAATTTAAAGCAAAAAGTTATTTTCCCCCTCTATAATATAAACTAAAATTTTTATAGCTATGAATTCTGCTTTTCAGAAGTGTCATTTCTTGATCCCCTCAAAGCTGCAGATCTAATTAGCATCCAAGGCCAATATGATTAACTTCAATTTCCACAAAGATTCCCACTTTTACATCACTCCACTTTAATCTTTGCTAAACTGTGAACTCTTAATATACTAAAGCATTTGACACAGAAGTAAATACTACCACTTTGCTCCATTTTTCATGTTAATTTTCCTTCATGCTCAATAGGCATCATCACAAATCCTGCTACATTTCCCCCCTCATAGCAGCATCCAAGAAATGCTCTCTATAGGATTGACACCCAGGACTGCTCACAATTTCCTTTTTCAGCAAAAATATTTGCTCTTTAAAAATGGCGGAATGAAGACAAGACACAGATCATCCTTGCAGAATATTGCAAAACACATATCTAATAAAGAATTGTCACCCAAAAATAGAAAAAGACCATGAAAAACAACAAAATCTGATTAAAAAATGGGTCAGAAATTTCAAGAGATACTTCAGCAAAGAAGATATGCAGATGGCAAATAAGTATATAAAAATATAATCCACATCATTTATCACCAAGTAAATACAAATTCAAACAACACAAATATACCACTGCACACCTACTAGAATGGCAAGACCCAGACCTCTGAAACCAAGAGCTGGTCAGGATGTATAGTGACAAGATAGTCTTGTTCACTGTTGGTGGGAATTCAAAATGGCATAATCATTTTGGAAGATAGTTTGACTTTTTCTTCCAAAACTAAATATACTTCACCATATGATCTAGCAATCTCGATCCTTGGTATTAACCCAAAGACTTAAAAGCTTAGGTCTAGACAAAAATCTGCATATGGATGTTTATAGCAGCTTTTTCATAATTACCCAAACTTGAAAGCACCCCAGACATGCTTTAGTAGGTGAATGGATAACCTGGTACATTCAGAGAATGAACTATTACCGACACTAAAAGGATAGTTATCAAACCACGAAAAGACATGGAACCTTAAATGCAAGTTATTAGGTGAAAGAAACCAATGTGAAATGGCTACCTACTATTTAATTTCAACTATGTGACTTTCTGGAAAAGGCAGAACTATAGCAGTAAAAAGATCAGTGGTTGCCAGGAGTGGGGAGTGGGGAAAGGTTGAACAGGCAGAGCTCAGAATTTTTAGGGCAGTAAAAATAATCTGTATAATAATATAATGAATATATGTTACTATACATTGGTAAAAACCCACAGAAAACACATTATTAGTGAACCCCAACATAAATTACAGGTTTGGGGTAATTACCATTTGTCAATGTATGCTCATCAATGGTCATAAACTTAGGACTTGGTAAGTGATGCTAAGTAATGATAATGAGGGATAATGTATGTGTAAGGGCAAGAGATATATGGGAAATGTTGCTGTGCAGTAAAACTTCTCTTAAAAAAATAAAGTCCTTTCTAAAAATGAAAGAACATGGGTTTGGAGGTGATAATGTAGAAACAACACAAAATAATATAGACCTCCAAGTTACACACAAAATACAGCAGCAATTGGCCCATAAACCAGGCCCATCTTAATGAAATTTCATGAACATACCCTAAGGAGAAATTATTTCACAGTTCAGTTATAAATATAAAAAACACAGACCAGAATTTTAAAAAATACAAAGATTTAAATAATCACAATTTAGGACCTGTTTAACCTCAAAACAAAGTATTGAAGAATAGACTTCGCCTTAGTTACATATTTCATTTGTTCCTCTGAGAGAATATGGGGTCCTCCTTAGCAAAGACCCTTCTGAAAATACATTTGCACTTCATTTTTTCTTACATTTTTCCCATCTACTATGGCCACCCTATAGAGCTGGACCTTGAAAATTCCCCACAAGGACAAAGCAAAATCTGCTTGTTTACTGTGATCAAAGCACAGTGCTTGACATGGATACAGCTGGGCCATCACGTTTGATATATGCAGTCAAGGGAAATAGAGATAAAGTTTATATGTGTTCATGTCCTAAATAAGGGAAGAATAGCACAATTCTTGGCCAGACATCCAGGCTTTCATAACAGTACATACACAGCTCTGTCACAGCACTGACCATAAAGTATTATACAAGCTAGCTTATATGTCTCCTCTTCCACAGAGTATAAGAGTTACTGGAAGCTGGGATCATTTATATCCACATCTTTACTGTCTTCATGAAAATGTACAATGTGAAGTGGGAATAAAGTAGATGTTTTCTGAATGAGTGGCTGTTTATATGTTTGGATAATACAGATGGTATAATTTCCAATTTGTGATTAAAAGTGTATCTTGATGGTTACTTTTTAAAATGTCAGTTATTACTGAATCTTAATCTTAGCATCACTAAGTGTGATGGATGAAACTACAACTTACCTCTTCTGATGTGGTGCAAAAAAAAGCATACAGAACCATTTAAAAAAATACCCTCTTAAAAGAAAAAATGAATTTTAATCAGACCTCAGTCTACTAAGTAGCGACTCTCAAAGTTTGCCTGCTGGAATCAATGTTTCTTGGGAACTAATTGGAAATGCAAATTTTTTTTTTTTTAAGAATTATTTATTTATTTAATTGTTTATTTATGCAAGCACTGGGTACAGCCAGAAGTGCGGGAGGGTGAGAGAATTCACCAGAGCCAGAGCAGGGAGCAGAGCAAGCAGAAGGACCAAAGTACACTGCTGAGGGGAGCAGTGGGCGGCAGGAGAGGTCTGCATGCCATGTGGGACCCTCCTTCAGTGGCTGGGGAGCAGCCGGGGATCGAACCGGCAATGCAGGGGCTTCGCAGCCCAGCGCTCAACCGCTGCACCACAGGGGAGGCCCGGAAATGCAAATTCTTGACTCCTGTCCCAGATTGAATTTTTGTGGCTGAACAAAACAATCTGTATTTTAACATGCCTTCAGGGGTCCTCCCCAATCTCTTCTTTTCCAAGCCATTTTATTGTGATAACAACCTCCCAACTTCAGCCCACAAACAGCTAATATATGGGATTTGCCTTGAAATACTACATTTAAGAAGTGAAAAGCAAACAAATGTGGAAATTCAATTACTGTTGAATTTCGGTGCTGGGTATTAACATTTTATCCTATACTATTTAATTCATTTTAAACTTCTAAAATAAATTTTGAAGTTTGTAAGTTTTGATTGATATCACCTCCATTTTGAGTATTTTTAGATGACAATCATTTATTCAACAATAATTAAAGAAGCATTACTTCATTTAGAACATTGTTCTACGTTCATAAGATTGAATGAATTCAATTTGTGTGAAGTCAAAATTGCAAAATTTGGAGAAAGGGGATCATTTGAAAAATTAGATATAAAAGTAAATAATTATTTAAAAAGAGAAATGCTATCATAAATT